AGCACATCAGGGATTCCCAAGCTATACCTTTAGCTTTCTAGATATGAATGATTATGGAAATGAAGGGCTTCAGTCACCACTGGGCTCTGTGTTGGGAGTCCTGGTTCTCAAAGTTTCCACTGTGGCCTCAGGGAGTTCATCAATTGGGAGCAATAACATCTTGGCTCTTGGTCCCCTGTTGCAGAAGGTAGTCTTCTTTCACCACTGTCAGTGCTGGTCTAGAACCAACAGGCTCTAGCAACATTAGCAATTGAGATTGTTAACATCTTCTGAACTAGCCTAAACCAAGGGAAGTTCTATTAGGGCAGATGAACGCAGAATGATCTTCCAGGTTAACCCCATCAAGTTCTAAATCTCAAAGCAGATCCAGGCATTCCTAAAGCTACCTTAATAATTAATGCACAGAAGCTGTATTCTGTGGCTTGCCACAGGTCAGCAGAGTGCATTCAGCTGCCAGAACAATAACAACCAAAAGGGCAAAACAAACAAAACACCCAGCAAGTGGTCAATGAAGCTATACATGCCAATGTGATGGAGCTTTGTTTTTGCTTTTGTTTTTAATGAGATGAAGTCTACATAGTACTCTTTTTTTTAGCACATCAAAGTGAGTAGTTCCCTGGTGGCCCCCTCTTATTCATCCTTAGACCATGAGAAAATCCAATGGAATCCAGTAATGAAAACAAAAATCCAAAATGAAATGAAAAAGAAAGGAAAAAAATTAAAATTTGGATCAGTCTCATTTTACGAAAAAAATGTTGTTTTAAAATATATTAAAGATACATATATTTAAGTAGGGAATAGGTGCTACACTTGGATTTTTAGCTTAAATGACCATTAATTGAATTTATTCTGGCTTAGAATACAGTGTAAATACTCTCAGGGATTCCCACAATTATCAGGGAGTTTATAAAGCTCCTGAGTCAAAATGAAGAAAAACATTCAATTTTGATTAACAATAATTGAAAGAAGTTTTTAAAAATGCATTATTGCTTTTTTTTTCCTTCTCATAAATCAGAAAGAAAGGAGGCATTTCTTTTGCAACACAATAGATAAGTTTTGGAACAGGAATGAGTGGGATCAGGGATTTACCAAATGTAGTGTATTGGGAGTTACCTTTTCAGCCACTATGCAGAAAAAAGCAAAGCCATATAATTCAAGTTTTCTAGCTTCTGCAAATGTGCTTCACCAGCCACATGAGCTGCTCATTGCCACGAGTTTTCTTTTCTGTGGCTTGGATGCATAAGTTTCTGGGTTACGTCAGGCTTCATGACCACAGCTCAACTATGATCTGAGTAAGAAAGCAAGGCAGCTGTGTATGTATTGAGCCAATGGCAATCAAATAAACCCCAAAGGGGGGTGGGGCAGGGGAACAAAAAAAAAATCAAGTTTATAGTCAAATATGGCACAAGATATAGACTGTGGGTGCCCATGGGCACAAAGCAGGAAATGTCTCATAAATTTAAAATGGCTCCTTTGGTTCAATATTTCAGTAAGAGACTTGCCGGGAAAACGCAGGTGCAGTTACGGGAAGTAAAGTGAGCCAAGCAAAGAGCAAAATCTCTTCTTTCTTAGTGAGCCTTAATATGCTGCCTACCCTTGAGGTTAAGGGTTAGCGGAGCCACAAGAAACATAGACAAATATTTGATAGAACCTAAGATTCAAGGCAGTTAGAACATTCTGTAAGTGTTTGAAAGCCCTGGCCTCCAGTGACAGTGATTTTTATACTTGCTAATTAAATTTGGCCCAGAGAAAACATTCCTTAGTAATGTGAGGTCAAGAAATTATTCTTCATTATTGCCCTAAAGTCATTAACTTCATTGTCTTTAATTTAATGACCAGGACAAAGAAACTTCTTCCCAACATATTGGCCAATGCATGTCATCTAACCCAAGGTGGATTGCTGCTCACATTTGGCAATAGGGTACATTGATTCTGATCATATATTTTCTTTCTTTCTTTCTTTCTTTCTTTCTTTCTTTCTTTCTTTCTTT